TTTTTTTTTCTAGATCATCTGAAGCAGCTTGTCTTTCATCCCAGGCAGTTCAACAGAAGAGGGTATGGGGTTATTACCAAGAATGGGTTAAGTTGATGAAAGTTTAATAACGAGATAAGAAATGTTAAGAAAATGGCATCATTACTTTAAATAGTATGATTTCTTAAAGTTTTACACTAAATATGACTGACTTAAGACCCTTCTATTTTGAAAATCTCAAAGAAATAAACAACACCACTGCAATTTAAGCTAGTAGCACATGTGGTTAAAACTGCATTTTGGTGCAACCAAGTACACTGGGTATACACTGCTCTAGCTTTAGTTTCATTGTCACTACAAACATGTTACTGATTAACATTTCAGTGAAAGAACAAGTTTATTTTAGACGGAATATTATCTTTTGAATTCAGTGTATTACTCAGTTGTACCAGAAAATGCTTGTGTGATTGTCTAGTAAAGTAAAACAACAATCCAAGAAAAAAAACCCCAAAATTTATGTATATTTACTTCATATCCCTCCGCTTCTGCCTCAGACAAGAAGGAACCCTTTTTGACCTTGGCCTTCTTGGCGTTACGCCCGCGACCTTTCTTCACTTTACTTTTCTTTGGGGCAGACATGTTACTGGATTCTGACTGGACTTCACTGATAATACTGGCCTCCTCCAGCTGACGTTCAAACTCTTCATCACTGGTGTTGAAGCCGCCACCTTCCTCCAGCTCTTCCTGATCAACAGAAATAACAAAATAGCATCAACTACCAAAAACACTCACTTCCATGGTGGTTAATCTCATCTACTTGACCAGTGGTTCAATTATGACTACATAAAACTGGACAACCAAAGGAATTGCTGTTTCCAAAATTTTAGTTTAGCTTTATGCAGTTTACACTATGATGATCAGCTGAACAGACTGACAATAACATAGCCAGTAATTAGGTCATCAAAGTGAAAGATGCAGGAAATTTTAAATAACAACAGAGATATTACTATTACTATCTCTTTTGAATTACTTTTTTCAATAAATAGGTGTAATGAAAGTTGTTAGTTGAATACAATGAAGTACTACTTTACAAAAGTCTTACATCGCTTCCCTTTTTCCTCTTCTTTTTCTTGGTGAGTTTGATCTTCAGAGGGGCCACAGACTTGCCTTTGCCCTTGCCTTTCTTCCCCTTCTGCTTAGAGGGCGTCCCCGGGGTACTGTCTACATCCCCCAGGTCTCCGTCATTACTGCCCTCCACACTGATGTCTGGGTCAGCCTCTGAAAGCAGCACAATAAACACTGGATGTCAGAGTTATGTCAAACCATGCAATAATGAGAGAATCCTATCCTGGATACAGTATGGCAAAGTATTTCTTTCAGCCAATTAGCCTGATGATTTGTACAAAAATATTGAACTAAATCAATGATAAATTTGTCAATAAACAGTAAATATTTTGTTTAGTTACAGTAATGTATTTAGCATAATATGGCTGCTACATACAAGGGTTGAGTGAGAGAAGCTACATTTCACAAAAGGTACACATTCTGAGGTTAGGAGCAAGTAAGTAAGTAAGCTTATACAGAAACAAGTGTTTTAAATCTTAGACTAGAATAAGTCTGAACTCATGACTTACCTTTCTGAAGCTCAGGTAAAGCCCCTAAAGCCAAGAACTCTCTCCACTTGGCAGCGACAAGTGACGTCATCTTTGTCATGGGACATTTAGGATTTTCTTTGGCCAGCAGGGGGCGAATGTGTGCAGAGTATGCCTTATAGGTGGTGAGGTTGACAAAGTCTTCATCAGAGTATTCAAGTTCCACATTCAGGAGTCCATGTTCTTGGCATATCTCTTCTGCTGTCTTCTGCTCCTAATGACAAATAGCTGTTAATAGTTTCATAAAGATCTAGCTAACTAGTATCTGTTAAATGTTTCATAAAGATCTAGCTAACTAGTACTAGTACCTGTTAAATGTTTCATAAAGATCTAGCTAACTAGTACTAGTAGCTGTTAAATGACCAGCAAATTGTACAACTGTTAAATCTCCAAAATGGAAAGAGAGGAAAAGTTTCTCCTCCTTCCCTTCCATTCTCAAAAAAAATTAATAATGATAAATAGATAACATAATAATAATAAATTAAAAAATTACTTCCACCTTAACATAAATCTTGACAAGAGTTTTGTTTTCACTTTTTATAAAAAATGATAGGATTAGAGCATATCCATTTTTGTTCACATAAAAACCCCTCACACAATAACACACTCTGATGCTGAATTATAATCACAGTGCAAATACAGTGGTAGCAATATTAGATGCATTGTTGTGGAAGCTTAATGTTCATTTTTTTCTTGGAAATATAAATATTAAAGCAGAAATACAGGTAATAAAAGTATGTCATAATGGAACAGAAAAAAGTTAAATATGGTTGTCAAATGTGTTTAATACTTCAGAAAACTGTTTTTTTTTTTTTTTTTAATTTATTATCAAACAATTTCAAATTATTGGTTTGGCTAAAATCCTCAGCCATTTTGATATCATTCCATTAAGTACAGATCTCCCCTCCCCACTTGAACTTCAGGTGCAATTCACGCCAGCTTCTTCATTTTGGATTCTCCAAAAGATCTACCTGGCCTTCAGCAGTGCCCGTCATTTGAGCATCTAAGCTGTTATATCAATTCATAGCTTACTGCTGTGGACGGCATGTGACAAAATAAAGAAGTCTGTGATTGGTGCAATACATTTATATCAAAAGTCTATTAAGATGTGGT